GGCGTTATTCTGTGGACCCAACTGCCGAGCTCTGGCGCTTGCATACGCGCTGTGCGAAATGTGGTACCCCTCCCCATACTATGCTCCGACACCGGACAGTGGGACACAGCCTCTGGTCATGGGTATGTCTGATGCGGAAGCGCAGCAGCACGGTCTACCCGTGCCAGCAGTGCAGGCGGACTGCCCACCTGCAGCATACAACTTCGAACGACTGGCGGGGTGTGCAAACGGCGGACTGCCGCCTCCATCGCGACATACCGCCTGCCGTGCCCATCACGCTGCCGTCATACGCAGTACCCTCACCCACAGCCACAGTTCGACGTGCAAGCGGCATGGCTGCCGCGGTACCGATGACAGCTGCGGCATGGCCTTTCCCCGACTCATCTGCACAGCCTTTCAATGGATCGGTACCACCGGCCTATTCTTGCTGCCCTGCCTGGCACCCAACCTCGTGCCACACATGCCTGCCATTGCCCTCGCCTTCGGCTGCAATCATTTGATGTCCCTGGCCTGCGAAGTCGACCGGGAGTACACAGCTGACATCGCTGCCCAACTAGCGCGTCCTCCCAACGAACACGGTGACTGCTCCCTCCTACAGCCCGCCATCGACCGCGCCCGTGACGCCGCGTACTACAGCTCTAAGTACACTGCAAAGACGATTGAACGCAGCCAGGCGCACCTCACATGTGCCGCCGTGGGCCGTGTACAGGACTTCATGATGGCAGGTCACCGACCCAGCACCACCGGTGATGGACCCAGCACGTTCGGCAACCTGTGTACCGTGGTGCACCGCATGACGGCCACTATCACGGCTGGCATGGCACTGGTCGCCTTCAAACTGTCAGGCCACGATACGTTCCAAGCAACCTACAAACGCAACTACCTACCGATAGGTGCCTTCACTGCACTGGCGTCCGAATCCGCCGTAGAACCAGAAGACGCGGAAACCGGTGTGGAGCTTGTAGAGGCGGACGAGCATGGCGACTACACCCTCACCAGCGTTGTACAGAACTACACACAGCGTGGAGTGGAGCTGAGCGGCTTGGACTGCAGCGCCTACAGCATCGCATCCAACTTCGAGGTGAAACGTATAACACCCGCGCAGCACCCCCATGCTGCCATCCTCAGTGCCCAAGTCCTCCCTGTACCTGGCCGCCGCAAGCGCAAAGCCCCTGGCGCCGCTATGACCCCTACTACTGACGCACCTCCCACCCCATCTGGCACCCAGCCCACCGCCGCTATGGCGTCCCCTGCGCCAGCTGGCCCATCTGCAGAACAGCTGCCCACGAGCCCGATGTCGACCATACCTCCCAAGAATGTGGCCTTCCAACCAACGCACCCGCTGTATCTGACACACGTTCTTCATCGCCTGGCGCAGCCGAGGTACGTTCTGCTGGGCGGTGCGCTGCCCCGCCGCCC